AAGTTGTGGGTATAAATAATGTTTCATATTTAGTGTGTATTACTCGGGAGAGAGTGCATATTTAGGAAATTATTGAATAATATCACTCTTAATGTATATAAGGGATCAATACGGGGGGTTTAAAGGTGGGATTAGGGATAACGAAACCTTGGTGCGACCCGAGTGAGCCGTACTTAATGCCAACTAGCGTAATTCGGGAGAATATGTCTAGTAAATTGTGGTAATTACTCGGGAGAGAGTTACGACAGTGAGAGTGCTCATGATTGGTAGAGAAGACTTAGGCAAATTTATAAAAAAATGCAGCGAAAAGGATTCCGACAATAGGGGAAATCATAACTCTAGACCTGCTTAATCTTGTCTCCAAGCCTTAGTATCCGTAGTTGTTAATCTACTAATTTAATCTGTTAGTTAATTAGATATAAGAATCTTAATATTTATAACATATGAATTATTCGAGCTTGTCTTCTTAGCAATATTGAACAGTTGTAGCTAAGCCTTACTTCTCAGTGAAATTCGACTCCGGACTTGTAAACTAGATTATATTTGCAACGACCGCTTAGTCCTTTTTATAAGGCATAGTTGGGTGTGATCAAATTTTGGCGCCGTTGTCGGGGAACTAACGATGTAGCTATAGGTGTACATATTTCTAGGTTGCAAGTTTGAACCTTTTTTTGTTTTCTTGTATTTGATTATTTTTTTAATTTTTTTTTATCCGAGAGACATGGCATCTTGGAATTATGAGAGTTTTAATATTGGTAATTCTACCTTTGATCCTCCTTATGTATATTGTGGAGGAAATCACCCATTGCAAATTATCAAAATATTCTCGAGAGCGAGTTATGTGTACCAACTCAATCTTATGTGTGTGATATGTCTGATGGTCAATATTGCACTTTCATAGTTGTGATTATATGTCTTATCTTCCCTCAACCCCTTATTATAATGGTTTTACTTTTTCTTGTGAAGCTAATAGGAACAAAGAACCCAGGGAAGCTGACCTGAAGAAGATCAAGGATATGTTAAAGCTGACCATTGATATGTTACAGTTGCCTTGTGGAACAAAATAGTAAAATACAACGGTAGATAGAAAGGCAAGAGGAAACTATTCACAACTTGAAAGTTCAAGTGAGTCAACTGGTTGAAGATTTTAATGCTCAACAAGCCAATATTGTGAATAGTATCCAAGAAGAGCGTGAATTAGATACAGAAATTGAGGTGCTAGTGGAGAAAGCCAGAGTAGAACACCAATAATCAATCGAACTAGATTTTGAGGATGTCGATGTTGTAGAAAAGATACTAGAGTCAACCAAGGACATTGATGATATGTATTTAGTTGACTCTAGTGTCATTAGTGTTAAGGATGTAGACAGTCCCAATGTTCATGTAGTTGAACGCATTGGTCCACACTCCAACCACTTTTCCGCATTTTGTCTAGATGATGATACGAAAATAGAGTCATCCGAGCCACTTGAGGAGCCAAGGAATGAGGAACAAGGTGCCTACATTCTGGAATTCTTCTTGCTAGAAAGTCGGGAGTACACACTTCATCTAAAGGCCAAGAAGTGCAGTATACTACATTATTTTATTGGGCCAGTCAGATTCGTTCTACCATCCCAGGAGCATGATCATAGAGCAGAATCAAAACTTGGGGTCCAATTCATAAGTTCAAAGTGGAGGCAGAAAGTGATTCGCGCCGTGCCGCGACGTTAAATCAAGCGCTTGTTGGGAGTCAACCCAGTTTTACTGCTTTCTTTTATTTTATTCTATTTTGTTTTTATTATAGATTTTTTTAATTGTATTATTTTGGTAGTGTCGATTTTTTATTTTCTAGGAGCATGGAAAGCAAAGCTATTCGAAGGATGCAACAGCAAACCAAATGGTTGGAACTAAGTGTGAGGTACCCACACAAAAGACCAAGCTTGGTAGAAGTTTGAGTACCCATAAGCTGCTAGTGCTTCGACATTTGGCCTACCATGGAGTTTCTTTTACCTTCTTATTAGTTATGGTGTGCATTGGGGACAATGCACAATTTTAAGTGTGGGGTGAGGAGATTGTCTGGGTGACTTTCTATGCTATTTTAGTTGTGTTAGTTTAATTAATTATTTTTTTCTTTTTCTTGAGGGATTTAAATCTAAAAAAAAAGATTTTCTTTATAGGTAGTGTAGTAATTCCCCCTTGATTTTCTTTGTGTCGCGGTTCTTTTCCAAGGGTTTTGTTTGAACCGGGTGTAGTTAATTTTTTTTTTGGGAGTAGGAGCCACTGTAAGATGAATTGAATTGAAGTAATATCTCTTGACTTTGTTAGGCTTTGAGAATAGTGAGTACTCTGGTTGTGACACTTAGGCTCAATTTTTGACTCTTGTATAAGTACCTTAAATCGTAGATTCTTATATTTGCTTAATCGTTTTGACTAGAGTGTCGTGATAAAACCAACCCTGAGTGAGTTATGTGTCATGTGTGTGTAAGATTTTGTGTTATTCTGTGCATTGCATTTGATGTCTAGAATTTGCCCCGCGTGTTTGCAAAGCGAAATAATAGTTTTGTTCAGTCTTGGAAGTGATATAAGCGTTTCTTTGTTGAGCCAAATATGTATATTTTACTCGCCTAATTGTTATGTAACGCAGTTAACCCCTTTGAGCCTGTAATCCTGCTTCTTTGGCAACCACATTACAAGCCTTACATCTTTGTTTGAATTAACCATCTATTTGAACCTGTTCACCTCTCATGAGCACTTGAATTGTGATGATTTATGTAAAAGTTAAAGTGTGAGGTGGTTGGTTTGACTTTTGAGTGGAACTAATGAAATAAGGAGAAAGGTGTACTGTGTTAAAAAATAAAAGCCACTTGAATTGATAAAGAAAGAAAAAATATATAGTTGTATTGTTGTAAAGAATATTCCTTATGGTGGTGGCTTTTGATGTAATTATGCTTAAAGAAGTATGTGGTAATATAAATTTAAGTGAAGGTGGAGTTTTGGTTTGACATAAGTATGAGCTTGAATGTTAAAGTATATGTATTAAAGTGCTTAGGGAGGTGTATTCACTCTTATATCCAAATGTATCCTACCCGACCCGTAGCCCACATACAACCAAATAAAGTCCTACTTGATCCTAGACTGAATGAGCTCGATTAGTAGAGTAGTACACTACGGGCAAGCCTATGGTGCATCTTTTGTGGCATGTGAATGTTATTTCTGAGAAGGAGTAAATTCTTTCTATCTTGAGTTCTTAATTGTTTTTAAATTTTATTTTATGTGTGAAACTACTCTCTTTTGTATTGTAAAGGCACGTGATTCATGATAGAAAGGTAATGTCATTGACCTCCATGTTAGAGTAAGTGAGTGAATTGTGAATAATGCATGGTACTTGCAAGCCAAATCTTGAGGTGGAGATGTTACACCCTTTGTGCTTAGTTTTTTTTAAATATTCTTGGTGTGACGAGTTAAAAGAATTGCTTAAAAGGTCGTGTCTATAAGTGTAGTATGATTGCTCGAGAACGAGCAATGTTTAAGTGTGGGGTATTGATGTGTGGCTATAATTCCATAGTTTCATACATTATTTACCTTGCATTATACATGCTTTAATGATAAATTACACTTTATTTGCGCGTAATTGAGTCTATTTTATGTGTAGGTGAATTGGAGATGAAAATAGAGCTAAAGGGATGCTTAATGTCGAAAGTGCGCTCGAGAACGGTGAAAAGGAGAAGCCAAGCAAAAGCCAGCTCAACCAGGCTTTAGCCTGGCGAGGCCAGCTTAAAGCCAAGCCCAACCAGGCATTAGCCTGGCGACGCCAGCTTAAAGCCAGGCTTAGCCAGGCGTTAGCCTGGCGACACCATCTTAAAGCCAGGCTGAGGCTGGCGTTAGCCAAGCGACGCCAGCCTAAGGTCAGGTCCAGTACGAGTTTTGAACATTTTATTTGTTTCCCGTCTTGATTAGGACTTGACCTACACGTTTAGGTTTTGTCCTAAACATATAAATAGACCTAAAAACATCAGTTTTGAAGGATTTTAGAGAGACGAAGAAGAGGAGATCGAGTTTGGACACACTTGAGACCTACGGTGGCAAAAACACACTAGGAGCAAGGCGGAGAATTCTTCTACGAATTTTTTAATTCCTTCTTCATATTTCTATTATTGGTTATGAATTCTAGTATTGTAGTTATGTATACTATTATGAATAGCTAATTTGTTATCTAGGGTTTTGATGGAACCTATTGGAGGATGATTTTCCTGTTTCGTTAATATAGATTTGTCGTAGTATTTTCTCTATTTGTTCAACTACGTTATTACTGTGGTTGGTTGAAGAGCTCTCAATCGACTGTACCTATTTAATATGTATTACTCGGGAGAGAGTACATATTTAGGTAGTTGTTGAACAACATCACTCCTAACGTATATGAGGGATCAATACAGAGGGGTTAAATGTGGGATTAGGGATAACAAAACCTTGGTGCGATCCGAGTGAGCCGTACTTAATGCCAGCTAGCGTAATTCAGGAGAATATGTCTAGTAAATTGTGGTAATTACTCGAAAGAGAGTGACGACAGTCAGAGTGCTCATGATCGGTAGAGAAGACTTAGGCAAATTTATAAAAAACGTAGCGGAAAGGATTCCGACAATAGGGAAAATCATAACTCTAGACCTCCTTAATCTTGTCTTCAACCCTTAGTATCCCTAGTTGTTAATCTACTAATTTAATTTGTTAGTTAATTAGAAACAAGAATCTTAATATTTATAACATAGGAATTATTCGAGCTTGTCTTCTTAGCAATATTGAACAGTTGTAGCTAAACCTTACTTCTCTGTGGGATTCGACTCTGGACTTGTAAACCGGATTATATTTGCAACGACCGCTTAGTCCTTTTTATAAAGCATAGTTGGGCGAGATAAAAAATCTAAAATCTAATTTAATTATTCTTTTCTTCTTAACACTAATTAATGAGAGTTTAATTTATATATACAGACCATCTTGCCTGATTTAGGGGCAACAAATATGGCGAATATCATGTCATACACAGTGAAAACATTTTGTTATCCACACAAATCAAGTATGATCATAAACATTAAGAAAGAAGACTAATCCCTTCAAATATTTGTGCCTAAGACATTAAAATTCTTCATGCTACAAACCAAGTAGCCAACACCTTCTTGATCAGATTGGAGCACAGAAACTAACTTGAAACCTTACTATTTAGAGACCATTTCTTTACCAGAAGCAATAGGAGCATCTTTGCTATATACACCATTGCTTCCCTCTTCAATATTCTTCCACCCTCTGCCCCTTTCAAATTCTTTTGCGGTGTCATAGGAAGCATGAAGTCCAAAAAATAAGTAATATACCAATAGAAATCCAGTCCATGCACCAAACCTTATGAACGATTTCTTATCAATTGACCCTAAAAGGAAAATGTTAATAGCTATAGAGGCTGATGGCAACCATGGTACAAGTGGGACACCCCAAAGCTTTGGATTACGAGCATGAGGTACAAAATACCCAAGTCCAATTGTTGCTAATAACCAAATTGGCAAAGTAATGCAGTATCCAATCCATCCATGTTTACTTAGTCCCCAATAAGTAGCTCTAGCAATGGAGGATCCGAGACTAATCAAAAGAAACGCGATAAGCTTGTTGCGATTTGCTATTGTAGTTTCTCCGCTCACATAGTAACGTCGAACCAGGAGAGCAAGCGCCACAAGCATGAAAATGAAGAGGGTGGAGATTGAAAGGAGATTGGAGAGAATATCGAGTTTCGTAAATAAGGCAATGATTGCAGTAGCACAAGACATGACGGCCGTAGCATTGACTGGTGTACCTGTAGGGACGGATCCAAAAAAATCACTAAATTTCAACAAATATTAAAATCTAAACCCATAATGGCAGAAGTGCATCGGATTCAATAATGAGAACATAAAGCCGAACCGATTCAAATTTGAATTCTAGATTCGCCTCAATGTACCTGTCTTGTCATTTACTTGAGAAAACCATGGAGGCATCATGTGAGTTCTTGAAATATGAGTTAAATATCTAGCTTGACCAACAACACCAACTAGCAAAACTGATGTCATTCCCTTCAATGCCCCTGCAGCCACAATATATTGTGCCCAGTTCCATCCCACAGATTTAAATGCCATAGAAAATGGAGCATGAATATCAATATTCTGATATGGTTGCATGAGGCACAAAGTAATGGCTAGTAAACAGTACAAAAAAGTTGTGATCACCATAGAACCAATTAGTCCAATTGGAATATCTCTGCCTGGATTTTTAGTTTCCTCAGCCATAGTTCTGCAGATTTCAACAATACTCTCATGTATGGCTTCAAACTGACTCAATGGTATTAAAAAAGATAATGGATGGGATATGGAAACCACCATGGATCATATCTGAGAAGGTAGAGGAAATGATGCAACTAATGAATGGGGGCAATTACACAGTTACTCATATTCATAGGGAGGGCAACAAGTTGGCTGATCATTTGGCTAATTATGCTTTAGATAATGGTGAAATAGAATGTCAACATTTCTGGCATCTAGATGAAAAGGGAAGGAGGTTGGGTATGAAGATAAGATGCAATGTCCAAGTCTAAGGGTGAAGGTGGACAGGAGATAAGAAGCAAAGAGAAAAGGAATAGCAGGAGGATTGTCAACTTGAACGACAAATATTTTCAAATCCTAAGGGAGGAGGGTATCTTTAGCGCGCAGATATAACATCGCTATTTTAAAGAACAAAATCACTTCAGTAAAAGATGGGCAAGAGATATTATGCTCAGTAACAGATAATTTTATTGAAATCTGCAAAAGCACGCTAGGGAATTGGCATAGAGGGATGCAAGATATTTTTTCATGTAAGCACATTGTTTTTTCTGAAAAACGTGAAGCATGTCTACTGGTCTGGGAAGGGAACAACAAAGCACAAGGCTCGAGGGTTGCAAATACCACAAATAGAGCAGTTGGGACGTGAATTTGGGATTAAACTACAAAAAGGGAGGAAAACATGATCTCACATAGAAGGGCACTCTAGAAGGTAGAGCATGCTGGACATGGACGCTTTTGATACTTGAGCATGCAATACTTTAGCTAAATTCGAGAAATGGTAGAGCGTGTCCATGAAATTATGTACACTGGAATTGATTCTATCGAAGCTGGAGATGCACGCATGGCATGCGCATGGGTTGGAAAGCTGTCCAGTAAGAAAGCACGCGCACGGGGTTCTTGACATTGTTTATACGCTGCATCATGGGCGGACAATGAATTGTTCCTCTCAATGCTGAAGATGCACCCATGGTTTGCGCAAGAGGCGAGAAAGACATTCAGCAAGAAAACATGCGCATGGGTTGGAAAGCTGTCCGGCAAGAAAGCACGCGCACGAGGTTCTTGACATTGTTTATTGCACGCTGCATCATGGGCGGACAATGAATTGTTCATCTCGATGCTGAAGATGCACCCATGGTTTGCGCAAGAGGCGAGAAGCAGGAAAGCATGCGCATTGGGTCTTGACAACAAAAAGTTGGGACATGTTTTATTGGGAATGCTTATGGCAGCATTCAAAACAGAAGCAGCTGGGGCGTGCCTTATTGGTACGACAATTTTAAATTACAACAGGGATACAAACCTGTTTTCACAAGGAATTGAAAGCTGGAAATGAGACGCATACTGGACAAGGAATTGGAATTTGCTATTTTGGTCGTGCATGTATTATCACAGTGAAGAAATGTGGCCATACTTGCACGAATGCAGCGTTTATGGGATATCGCAGATCAGAGGATGCCGGTTCGTCAAAGAAGAATAGGCTAAACTAACAACACTCTTAGGAGAGTTTACTGAAGAATTTGCTCAAAGAAGACCATATCTCGGTGGGATGGACAGTTTATTTAACATCAAACTTTGGAAGGTAAAGCTCAAGGTGCACTCAATAGGACAAACATCCGGTGGATCAGGAGGGTTGGCACAAGCATACATCATCAAGAAAGTTGGGCAAAATCAAGAATACAAATGCATAATTTTGATAATACGCTATTTGTTAAAGTTCAAATTTTATTCCTTTCATTTGGTAGGATACCATGACATTGTATTTTGATTTTTAAGTTTTTAATATAAAAAACTAGCCCTAGGCATTTGCCTAGCGGTCTGCCAAAAAAAAAAAAAACCTAAGAGAGCTAGACCCCACCCCCCAAAAAAAGGCCAAAAAACCCCTTATCCCCTCTCCGACGCAGGAAGCCATTTTCGTTGGCAAAAGATGTAATGCCCAGATGATTTTGACTGATTATTTTGCAAAGATTGTCTACGTTCAATATTTATCTCAAAACTCAGACTTCGTAGAAAAAGCCCTAAAACTGAAATCAACTTCACTCTTTTGTGCTCGAATTTCACCACGAAAGATAACTGAAATGCTAAGCAGAATTTATAGGCGCAACACCCAGTCCCTCATCCTTCTCCTCAACTTTCTTCCGTCACTCTTGAACCAGTGATTCAAAATCGGGTGAGCTCAATTTGCTATCTTTTTATTCCCAGATTTGTTTTATGGAGCTGTTGATTTGTCTTTCTGTTAAAGCATTCTTTGTTTATTGTACAATTAATTAAAACACGAGATTTATTTCAATATATTAGCTTTTTTTAGGGATTTTATAGATCCCATTTTCATTTCCTATTTCTGCCTCTGATCAAGATTCTATTTGGATCTTCGAACTTGTATGCACGGATAGATCCATGTTTACTGTTTTTATCGAAAAAATTGTGTTGGGAATATATGTTAAATGAATCATGTTTATATATACTCATTGCTTTTACTTGGAAACATGTGGTTTAATTAATTTATTTGGTTAAAAAAAGGTGTTTTAAGTGATTAATTTCATATATTCCTAGCTTAGTTTATTGGGCATTTGACAAATTACTATCTTTCAGATCTTGTTTAGTTAAAATGATGTCTTGGTTTCATAATTACGTGTGTTATGGGTAAAAAATGCTAATCGACTGTTTGTGCTTTAGCTAAGATATAAGTAACACTTATCTTTCAGTCTTGTCAAGAGAAAATATATAGGGCTGTGAGATAGAAACTCGTTTCAGAGACTTTGTATACACAGAGGCGGAGCCAAATTTTAACTTTATGGCTTCAGGAGAACTTACCTGTTAATAACCGGATTCTAGATTTAATATTTGTACATATTTAATAACCGGATTCTAGATTTAATATTTGTACATATTTAATGAATTTTTTTACACAAATACAATCGAAGTGGCATAAATTTGGCATCTCATCGTCCCACTTTTCCCAGTGATTTCTTCTGTCACTTCATGCTCCGGCATTGCTTTTTTTGTTTGTTTGCAAATGCCATTGTCTTATTAGTGTGACGTTACTTAACTTTTCTGTAATTTACTAGTTGTGAAATTTTGCTTTCCTTTTTATTTATCTTTCCGATGCAGCTTCAATGTGGGCTTGGCCCTGACCAAATAATCTAACGGGTATATAGCTTTATATTAAGTTCAAATTAATTTTAAATAAGAATATCCATAGATTGCTTTAATTAAGTATAATTCTTTTAAAATAAATTAAGGTGTGCCATCTACAATTGAATCACTTATGGCCCTCACATTAATATTATAACTTAGGTATTAAACAATTTTGAACATTCGTAGGTTGCTTTAGGCGCGACTTAATCTATTATCGTGATTATGTATACGTTCGCGTAGCATAATTATAATTCTTTTTCTAAAAAAATAAATCGAGGCATGCGTTCGCGCAATTTCGACCAAACTTTCTTAATATTAATAAAGCGTGATTAGTTGTGGACACGTACGCGTGACATGATTCTTGACGTGCCAAATGAAATGAGTACACGTATGCGTGACTCCTTTTAAGATAATTTCAAAATTATGAATAATCAAGCAACTAAAAGCGGTTAAAGGGATAAATGCACATAGGTCCTAAAATAAGTAGTTAAACAATTTAAGCCAAGTATAAATCACTAAGCGACCATGCTAGAACCACGGAACCCGGGAATGCCTAACACATTCTCCCGGGTTAACAAAATTCCTTATCTAGAATTTTTGGTTCGTAGACTTTTAAATAAAGTCGAAAATTTCCTCGATTTGGGATTTAAAAATAAACTGGTAACTTGGGACACTATAATAAACTATTCCAAGTGGCGACTCTGAAAAATTAAATAAAATATTCTCATTTCGAATAATGTCACTTTAATTGGAAAAACTCCCTTATATTCCCCCTCGGGTGGTAAAAAAGGAGGTGTGACAGCTCTGGCGACTCTGCTGGGGAAGCTAACCCAGAACTTCCGGTTCAGGGTTCAAGAATTCGAGCTTATTAATGTGATTTCTTATTTGGCTTTATTGTCGATATTACTATATTTTGTGGACTTAATGTGCTAATTGCCATTTATCGCTTTGATATTACCTGAAATGTATTTAAATGTCTTCTTACGCCTCTCTTCTGAGTCTTCTAAAAAACGGTGCTCACATTCGCGTGACCCACTTTTCTGTTAGAGTTATACCAAATAGAACGGGGCCGGGCGAGCAATAAGGCCGGGCAGACTTTCATGCTCCCGGTACGTTGCCCCCTCCTCAACTCGAGTTTGTACGCTCGGGTAAGCCAGGCCTAGGACACAACCCCAGGTTTAAACTTAGAATAACATAACCTCATGTCGGTTCCCTAGTAGGAACGTTTATTGCATCACGTGCATTTGACCTTGGGGACTCAAAATAGGGGTTGGGTCCGTCTAGGACAGGTGTACCCAAAAATAAAGATCTTGATTTATCCTACGTGCTATATGAATATTAATTTATTTCGGCTTCATGTTGACCAGCTAGAAAAAGAAAATCAAGAGAAAAACAAAGAGTGAGGTAGGATAGAGAATTCACCCAGTTCTGAAAATCTCGTTATTTGAAAATGCCTCGAAACTCTGCCAAAATTTTTTGAAAAGAAAAAGAGGAAAGGAAAATGTATCATGTTTTTTCCAATTATATTAAAATTGACCGAACTACACGGGTCTGGTTCTCACCGGATGTGAGATACGTAGGCAAACCTCATAGGTTCCGACCCCAATTTTCAAAAAATCTAAAAACATTTCTCTTTAGTTCCTTATTTAGAAATCTTTCCTTAGAAAATTTAAAAAAAAAAAAGTTTTTTAAAACTCAAAAAAAGTAGTTTCCTTCTTTCTGAAGTATTTCATACGGAAAAAAAAATTAAAAAAAATCCGAAAATCAAAATCCAAAATATGGGTTTCCTTTATTTTGAAGTATTTTTCCCAAAAATTAAAAAATCAAAACAAAACAAAATCCATTTTTTTTCCTTCTTTAAAAGTCTTTCTTTCGTAAATGTCATAAAACTTAAAAAATTGAAGGCCAAAAATATTTTCGTTTTTCTTTAGAAGTACTTTTGTAATAATAAGAAAAAAAACTCATAAATCCAAAATATAAAAAGTCTCTCTTTCGAAAATTAAGAGGCAACATCCAAAATCCAAAAATATTTTCTTTCTTCTTTAGAATAAGAGAAAACAAATGAAAATTCAAACAAAAAATATCTTCCTTTTACTTTTGAAATTCTCAAAGTTCAAATCAAAAGAACATGAATTCTTAGAAGTCTTTCTTTAAAAAAAAAATCAATCAAAAATCCAAAAATAAATATTTCCTTTCTTCTTTTAAAGCATTTCTTTCAAAAATTCCAAAAAATAATAATTTAAAATTAGTTTATTTACTCCATTCTCGATCTCCCGAACTACGCAAGATCTGATTCATGCAACATCATAATACGTAGGCAATCCCCATCGGATTCGATCATAGCCATAAAATTAATTGAGTGAAAAATAAAGTGAAAAAAGAGAAAGAAAAATTGAGTGAAAAAAGAAAAGAAAAGAAAGAGTAAAAAAAAGAGCGACATAAATAAAAGAGTGACAAAAGAAAAAGAAAAAGAAAAAGAAAAAGAGAAGGCCAAAAATAAAAGAGCAGCAAAAACAAAATGAAAAAATCAAGAGTGATTAAAGAGAGACAAAAATAAAAGAAAAGAGGTACATACTGAAAGAGTTGGTTAAGGTTGGGAAGAAACATGCAACCGTTCAAAGACATGGTAGAAACGTTTAACTGTTTAGGTGCATTGCATCCAAACATGTGATTTCCTATCTGTTAAGCGTCTCAAAACTAATAAGGTTGTTGGGTGCGCAG